ACAGCATCAAAGCTATTTTTAGTGGAGTGATCACCAGCAAGAAGCTGAAAACGGCTGCTTTCAACTATAAACAGTGGAAAGAAAGGATCATTTATGCCCTGCTGCAGCTCTTGAGTCCATTTATATGGGAGACAAAGGGGTGTGTAAATCTCTTCTTCAAAGTTATGCAGGCATCTTGTGCCTGTTCAGAGCCCGTCACCTCTGCAGAGAAGAGTAATGTTAATTTAGCGCTTGGCTGCGCTGGCTCTGAGTTAAACTAGATGCGCAGATAATAGTGAATTACAGGACTGTCCTTCTAGGTGTCCGTTCTGAAAAGAAGACACTGTATAGATGCACAGAATCATCCAGTAAATTTTTATTTCCTGTAGATCACAAAAATCGAGACAACAGGAAGTGGGAGGTGGGCTATATTTTCCTCATGGCACAGTGGAGGGAGCAAGTCATTTACTAGCTGAAGGGCCCTCGTGACTTCACCTTTCCCATTTAAGTGTTCTGAGCTGCAAAATGAAGATGATGATATCAGTTCTATGTACTTGATAAGGCTAGTTTTTCTAGCAGACGTCTATTGGACACCTAACTCTGTGCCAGCCACTGAGAACTTTAGACGAACAGAACAGTAATCTTCCCCAGACTTCACAGTTATCAAAAGTTCAGAAAAAACCAGAAGTAAAACCAGTGAATCCCTGAAGTAGTAATTAGTAGAAGTTTATTGTGCACACACCAAAAAGACAGTTTGCAAACTGGAAACACTCAAACCAAAACATGGACTGAAGCTCCGAGGTGTATTGTTAAAACCCAGCTTATGTGGTGTGGAGGCAATGACTGTTTATTCTGCACAGTGATTGGTTACAATGTTAGAATTTTCTTAAATGAAAGGGAATTGGTTAGCAGTTCCCTCATATCAATTTTGGTAACAGTTTAGGTTTCGCTTATGATTTTCGGAGACATAAGCAAGAAGTGACCCAGGTCAAGTTAGCCTCCTTTGTCTTGCAAAATAAGCTAAATTAAGCTTTGCTGGTATGACTAAACTGGTTTTGTCTGCTCAGGGAATTTTCAAGTCTGGGCTCCATTTGTGTTTGATTTTAACACAGTCTAGCTACATAAACAAATAGATTACAGTGGGAGAGGCTGGATCTGCTCTGCACATGGAAGGAGGTGGTAGAAGACAGGATGAACAGAATCTTCAAGAAGGCCTAAGAGTTTGCAAAGAGGACAGTAGTGGGAGGGCTATTTCAAGCAGGGGCAGCCAAGTGAGTTAGACAGAGGGAAGAGGCATTCTGGTGTGTCTGGGGACCCTGAGCAACTTGCTATTGCCAGAACAACAACAAAATAACAAGACAAGAGATGGCAGGAGATGAAGCTGGAGCAAGTTGAGCCAATTGCTTAGAGCTAAGGAACTTGGAAGTGACACAGGCCACCAGGAGCCAGAGAGTGGTTTGAAACACACGATTGACCGGATTATATAAAAATAAAGTGGAGCCATGGCGAGTGAAAGTCTGTGCATCTGCAGATAGGAAGTGGTAGCATTTTCATTCAAGCGTTGTAAGGATGGCCTGGGCATAAAGTATCTTCCCGAGAAAGGCTAAGGCTGGGACTTTGGGCATTGTCCTTGAAGAGGGGCAGGTCGAAGCTACAGAAGTAGCATATTGGGAAGACCTTTGCAAGCTGGATTTAGTGCTGGTCTCTGCAAGCGAGTGGGAAGGATGGCTTGTGTCCTTCAGGAGTCCTCAGGCCACCTAGCCCCGATGAGGAGGGTGTGAGCCCTGGATGTGACAAGCGTGCTGCATGTGGTCAGTGGACACGTGAGGGTGAGCATAGTGACTGGGCACCAGGAAGCACCGTCTGTACTTGGGAGTCGAGTTTCCCCCAAAAAGTTTCAGGAGGCTAAGGTTGTCCCGAATATGCTTAGAGCTTCAGTTATGGGGTAACTCTTCAATGCCGTGGGGATTCAAAGAAGAGGAAAGTGCAGGGCAAAAGAAAGCAAAACAGAAAAACCTCATTCAAAGCTACACTTAACTGTTATACCCGGGAAAAAATGGTCCAGAAAGTCACCACGTACTGCCAAATTTGGTAAAGCGAAATCTGCACACCTCCATATCTATAACTATGGCCAAGAAGTAATGTTACTTTTTTGAAACTGTATTCTCTTTGAGTTTAATACTGTCAAGGAGGTTTAGCAAAATTATTTGCTTCCTTTCCCTTTAAGGAGAGGAATGGATGTTTCTGTAAGTTTTCTAGGAGAATCAAATGGATGTCAGGTATTAGGCATATAAGAGGCGGTTACTTAGGCCCTAGCTCACATGAGATGGGAAGAGGCCCACTGCACTTGGGTTTCCCAACCACTGCTCCGTTGGTTTTCCTGAGCAGGGCTCAGAGTACACATGGGGTGCTTTGAGAAGAGGAGAAAGTCACAAGCAAGCAATGACAGGTGATAGGGCAGTGGCCAAGGATCACGTGGAGAGCAGGGAGCACTTTGGAAGGTAGGGCCAGCTCTATATGCTGAGTTGAATGTATCAGGACAAAGACACAGTTTAGGTGTCAATGCCAATCATAATATTTATTGCCTTGGCAGATATAAGAGATTACTTTTTGGAAATGGAAAATTGCTTTTTGTCACTTCAAAGCCAACCATAAATAGATCCAATAAACCAGAGGGAAAATGTTTCATAAAAAATAAACTTCTGCATTGTTACGTACAACGTTAGCATTTTTTGTGTGTCTGGATTTCTACCCTTGATGTAATATTTAGACAGAGGTGTGCAGCTCTGTATCATCAGCTTTCTAAAATCAGCATTTCTATCTCTCCTCTTTGTGGTGGGGTGTGGGATGGGAGTAGCCCTCGAAGGGAGGAAATGAATAATCAAGGTAAATCACAATTTTCCCACAAATAGGTCATTTTCCTGTCTGTGACAGGTTTTCAGCATTGCAGGAACTATCGGGAATCACACTGGGTCAAAAACGTGGATCAAACACTTACATCTCTTGATCTCTACGAGCCTGAAAGGTAATAGGTCCTAGTGACTTTTGAGGTTTTTCTCTGAAAGTTGTATTAGTTCAGCGGAATAATGAAGGGTAACGTCCTTAGCATTATCTGTATTGGGGCAGAGTGTGGGTTGTTTGTCATGGACTCCAAGGATACTGTTATCCTAGGACAGATGATACGAGTGTGGCCCTGCCTTTCCTACTTCTTAGTCATGGGAGATGGCCCAAGGATTTCTAAAACCTGCCACTGAGTTCTAGGTGAAATGGTATTTTCACTCAAGGGCTATTTCCTCTTTTTTTTTTTTATTTGAGGAAGTTAGCTCTGAGCTAACATCTGCTGCCAATCCTCCTCCTTTTTTTTCCTTTTTCTTTTTCTTTTTTTTTTTGCTGAGGAAGACTGGCCCTGAGCTAATATCCATGCCCCTCTTCCTCTACTTTATATGTGGGACGCCTGCCACAGCATGGCTTGACAAGCAGTGCATAGGTCTGCACCCAGGATCTAAACCAGCAAACCCTGGGCTGCCGAAGCAGAATGTGCGAGCTTAACCACTACACCACTGGGCTGGCCCAAGAGGTATTTCCTCTTAAAGGAGTGGATTTTAGATGAAAATTTCCCACTATTGCTTGTCTCCAATTACACTGACTCTGTCTAGAGTCCCCAAGTGGTTCTACCTGTTAAACTGAAGCCCTTTTGCACCATTGTGAAGACCTCCACAAAATCACTGCCAAAGGAAGGAGAGAGAAGCAAGCTGGGCTTCCTCAGTCTCAAAGGCCCTCCACCCCAGCACGGCCAGAGGGCAAGGCCTAAGAGCTCTCCCTATGCCGCCTCCAGCCATCTCCATCTCAGAGACCACCATCATCACACAGGCTGCTCCTTGAAGGGCTCGGTGTCTATAGTCGTTGAGCAGTGGCTCAGACGGAAGTTCCTTGAGAAAGTCTCCAGGTTTCACTGCCCCAGGAGTGCTCCCAAGAGAGTGTATGAAGGGCCTGCTCTCTGGGCTGTGATAACAGCCAGCGTTAAATGAGCAGGTACCGGGTGCCAGGCCCTGTGCTGAGCACCCAGCAAGGTGCATGACACCTTTAGAGGATCTCTGGTTTCCCAGGGAGACAGCTGGACAGTGGTAGGGGGTGGTTGGTGTTGAAGTCCATGTGTCAATGGCGGCACTGTTGGGTCTCAAAGAAAGGACAGATGAGGGTCAAGTCAGGGTAGGCCTCGTGGAAGAAAGTTTTTCAGTGGTTTCTGCCCAACAAGAGGGTCGTTGTCCAGAAGGCGCTAGTGTCCAGTTTCATGGCATAATGATCAAGGGACCCAAGGGCAGTGGTCTCACAGCTGTCTATCAAGAGCTTTCTGTCATCTTCTGTGCAACCTCAGATCCTTTCTTTTGTTTGTTTATGCATCCGTGTCTCTTCGTCTTAGACAACAGGATAGTTTTTTCATTACCATGTCCCCATAGCAGGTGTAAAAACATGTTTGTTCAGTGGATGGACAGGTGAGAGAAAAGAAGGTGGGAAAACCAGCTCCTACTTCCAGATCCTTGGGACAGAGGAGCAGAAGGTGCCACCTGCCCTAGGTAGTGTCTGGCTGACCATTAGGAAATGTCTGTTCATTTATTTACTTTCCATCTATCTATCTATCTTTTAAAATTCTAGTAAAATACACATAACATAAATTTATCATCTTAACCATTTTAATTGTACAGCTGAGTGACATTGAGTACGTTCACATTGTCATGTGACTATCACCACCATCCGTCTCCAGAACTTTGTTCACGTTGCAAAACTGAAGCTCTGTACCCTTTAAATAACAGCTCCCCACTTTCTCCTCCTCCCAGCCCCTGGCAACTGCCTTTCTACTTTCTGTCTTTTATGAATTTCACTACTCTTAGTACCTCATATAAGTGGAATCATATAGTATTTGACCTTTTGTGACTGGCTTATTTCACTTCGCATCATGTCTTCAAGGTTGACCTGTGTTGTAGCATGTGTCTGAATTTCCTTCTTTATTAAGATTGAATAATATTCCATTGTATGTGTATACCACATATTCCTTATCAATTCATCCATTGATGGACACTGGGTTGCTTCTGCTTTTTGCCTGTTGTGAATATGCTGCTGTGAACATGGATGTACAAGTGTCTCTGAGTTCCTGCTTTCAGTTCTTTTGGGTGTGTACCCAGAAATGGAACCACTGTATTGTGTGGTAATTCTGTGTGTAATTGTTTGAGGAAGCGCCATACTGTTTTGCTTAGCAACTACTGTTTTAAGGGGATGTCTCAATTACCTAACTTTTCGTATGTATGTCTTGCCTCTCCTCTGTGAGTTTTACAAATGCAATCCTCCTGCCTCTGTTCCGCTTATGTCCTTTGAACTGGACTGGTTAAAATTCTGGCCCTGTGGACAAGTTTGGGTTAACACCGTGGATCGACTGGTTGGGCCATAGTCAGCCCAGATTCTGGATTCAGGAACTTACCGCCATTCTCTTCTCAACCTTACCTTTGGAAAAGTTAAGTTTATCCCTTTGGCCCCTGGGGAGATGTTCTCTGGGGGAGTCCCAGGCTGCATCAGGGATTAAGCTAGAACCAAACTGGCCCTGGACGTGTAGCTCTTGGAACAGCTGCTCTGCTTTCCTCAACTCCACCATTTTAATTGTGATTAGTAGGTTCATTTGCATCTAAAAGGAGTAGTTTTCTTATCAGCACCATTGAGTTGGGAACCAGTGTGCTCCATTTATATAGAGTGGCCCATTTTAACCAGGCCCATTAAGCAGTAAAAGTAAATGTGGGTGTTTTACAAATGCAAATATATCATGCAAATAATGTACTTTATGCTGAATGATGTCTTGGTTTTCATATGTAAAATTAGAAACTGTGTAGCACGAAGATAATGATAAACACCTTTGCATCTGTTCATAAGATGTATCATGAGCTGTATGCATCTAAAACTGAAGCTGAGTTTTCTAGCAGAATGTCTTCAGTATACCCAAACATGCATTCCATGTTATGAGAGCTATACATGTACTTATCTAGTTATTTATATATTCCTAAGTAATCAAGAAATCACCGAAAAGAGTAATCCAAATTACCTAACCTATTACTTAGCATCACTGATGAGATTTATAATTTTGCTTCCATTTTCAAAGATTTTTAAGGTTTTATCTGAGATGATGGTAAAAGAAGAAATGTTACTATATAGGCTAGTTCCTTTGTAAGAGACTTAAAAATGTCTGCAAGAGTATTTTCTAATCCTTAGTGTATGAAATTATTCTGTGAATGATATGCAGGTAGCATTTTTGCTGTTTTATAAAATCACTTAGTAGAATAATGACAACCATCTTCTGTGTGCAGTGAACTTGGCCAAGGTCTAGGACGGAAGTCACCTTTAGACTCTGCCCACATGGGGTTTCGCTCTTTGGAAAAGTAAGACCCACACCTGTAGAAAATGAATTAAAGGTATAAGAAGACGTCAGATCAGGAAATACCACAGAGTGTGGTCAGTTCCCAAATTGGCTGTGCAGATAGTAATTATCAGACAATTCAGAGGTGGGAGAGGTCCCAGGGTGGAACTGACCGGAAAAAGTTTCTCCAGGATCTGGGATTTGAGTCGAACCCCATAAAGGAGGGGTAGGACTTGAATAGGAAAGAGAACAGGGCAGCCGGGCATTCCAGGCAGACGGAAACAGAACTGGCTTGAATGGGCCCTTAGAAATAGATGGGGTACACGTGTGTTCTGGAGACCTGTGTCAGGCAGGGAACCTATTGGACTTGACTCTGCCTGATAAGCTGTTGGTTTTCACATACTTTTGTAACCAGCAAACTCTTCAAATGAAAAATGATATGAAAACTCAATGCATAAGGCACTTAAAAAGAGATCCTTTGTTTTCATTGGGGCGGGACCTCTTCTAGACACCCATCCCTCCACCCCCACCATTGACAGCACTGTAGGCACCTCTTGGGGGTTTCTTGGGGAACCGCTTGTAAACCAAGGGGAGAGCTCATGAAGACGCTGTGCTTTGAGAAGGCTGCTGTGGTGTTAGGCAGGGTGGACTGGGGTGAAGGGAGAGATTGGAGGCGGGAAGACTTATTAAGATCCTACTGGGAACATCTACCATGACTTGACCCAGTAGAGTAGAAATACAAGGAAGGGAAAGTGCCAGAGACATTTGAAAGAAAGAGTTGACGGGAGTGGGTGACAGCAGACAGGGGTGTGGGAAAGGAATGAGTTAGACTCCAGGACTTTTGACTTAAAAATTTTACAGGTCAGCAAGGGCTGAATGAGTTTTCTCGTCTTTGTATTTATGAGGAATGAGTTATATTGTAAACTTTTATTCCCTCAGCAAACGTTGATAGTTGCCAGCCAAGTTGCAAGCACTGTGGCAGGTGCTAGGGATTTAGGAAAAGAAAGACACATGTGTCTCCGTGTTGCAGGGAGTCTGTGCACCATGTGGAAAGGAAGGCAGCTGTGGACACTGTTATAAGTTGAATTGTCGTCCCCCCGAAATTCATATGTTGATGTCCTAATGCTCAGCACCTCACAATATGACTTTATTTGGAAATAAGGTCATCGCAGATGTAATTAGTTAAGATGAGGTCATAGTGCAGTAGGGTGGACCCCTAAGCCAATATAAAAAGGGGAAATTTGGACACAGATGAGAACACACAGGGAGAATGCCACGTAAACATAAAGGCAGAGATCTGGATGATGATGATGTATATTTAGGCCAAAGATTGCCAGCAACCACCAGAAACTAGGAGAGAGGCGTGGAAAAGATTCTTGTTAAGCCCTTAGAAGAAACCAGCCTTGATCTTGAACTTCTACCCTCCAGAACTGTGAGACAAGAAGTTTCTTTTGCTTCAGCCTCTCAGCTGTGGTACTTGTTGTGGCAGCCCTCAAGAACTAATGGAGACACTGAGAGATCCAGGGCAGTCTAGAAGGTGCCCGTGGGGACCAGTAGTGGGGGGACAGCCGAGTACGGTATCAAGACGCAGCCGGAGGTACGTTCCAGAGTCTGGAGACAAGGTTGGCTGGAGGTGCAGAATTGGAAAATCCAAATTTCCCATGAGTGCATGAACTCTCCAAGGAAAGAAAAATGAGTAGAAAAGAAAAGAGGACTAAAACTCTAGAAATGCTCATAATTATGGGGCCAAGGCTGGACAAAGAGCTAACAGAATGTTAGAAAGGAGATGGGAGGAGAAGAACCAGGCTAGGAGGGTGTTTTGAGGCTAAAATTGGAAAGGATTTTAAAGAGATAATGTCAAAAATTATAGGGAGTTTATATAATCAGAAAAAAATAATAAAGCAAGCCTCTCATGTGAGCGCATGTGGGGGGTATGGAGTGGGGCAAGGGAGAGACTGTAGTGCCCTCAAGGGCTGTTAGGCCTGGACAGCTGGGTGACTGGAGGCCTCTGGTGACCCCTGATAGAAGAGGACTGCAGCCAGTCCAGGGAGACTGTGACGTGAAGCGGTGGACGTCAGGCACGCAGTTCCCAACTCGTGGGCTTTGTTAGTGCACAGCAGGGTTATGGGAGCCAAGAGGGAGATCTGGACGCGAGGGGATGTTTGATGATGGATAAGACAAACTCCTAGTCCTGAGAACAGGAAGGCGAGTGGAGGCGAGGGGTAATGGAGGGAAGGAGATTCTAGAGGAAAAGAAGGGCCGAAGGGGAGTTACTTTGGCAGAGAAGAAGATACAGACACTGGGGGAAATAACAGAGAATGAATGAACTTAGGGAGAGTGGCTTTGGTTGTAGAAAAGAGGAGGTGATGTTGCCTGATGAGGTGTAGAGAGGGACGTTTGGGACTTGGTGAGTGGAGAGAAGATTGGGGCCAGCTTAGTTGGTTTGCTGACCACTAGGTCAGTGGTTCTCATTTGGGGGCAGTTTTATCCTCCAGTGGACACATGGCAGTACCTGGAGACCTTTTTAGTTGTTACAGCTGGGGAGAGGGTGCTACTGGTATCTAGTAAGTAGAGGCCAGGGAGGTGGCTGCACACACTGCGGTGCACAGGGCAGCCCCCGTGACACCAAATTATCCAGCCCCAAATATCAGTAGTGCCGGGGTTAAGAAACCCTGCCGGAGGTCAACAGCAATTCTCAAATGTGTCTGAGGAGAGAAGCCCTAAACTTTGTAGCGTGCTTGGTGGAACGTTATGAAACATTGATATACAGTCATGCATCGCTTAACAACAGGGATACGTTCTGAGAGATGTGTCATCTCGTGATTCCCTCATTGTGCGAAGACCATAGAGCGTACTTACACAAACCTAGATGGTGTAGTCTACTGCACACCTAGGCTATACGGTACAGTAGTCCCCCTTACCCTCAGTTTTGCTTTCCGTAGTTTCAGTTACCCATGGTCTGAAAATATTAAATGGAAAATTCCAGAAATACGCAATTAGTAAGTCTTTAATTGCACGTCTGAGGAGCGTGGTGAAATCTGGTGATGTCCCACTTCGTCCCCCCCGGGTATGAATCACCCGTTTGTCCAGCGCATCCACACTGTGTTCACTAACCACCTGTTAGTCACTTAGTAGCTGTCTCGATTATCAGATCGACTATCGAGGTATTGCAGTGCTGTGTTCAAGTAACCCTTACTGTATTTAATAATGGCCCCAAAGCACGAGAGTAGGGATGCTGGCAATTCAGATATGGCAAAGAGAAGCAGTAAATTGTTTTTCCTTTAAGTGAAAAGGTAAGAATGGTCAACTTAATAAAGAAGGAAAAAAATCAGATGCCAAGGTTGCTAAGATCGATGGTAACTCTTGTTATAGTATATTGTTATAATGGTTTTATTGTATTATTATTGTTGTTAATCTCTTACTGTGCCTAATTCATAAATGAAACTTTATCATAGGTATGTCTGTATAGGAAAGAACATGGTGTATATAGGGTTCAGTACTATCTGCCGTTTCAGGCATCCACTGGGGGTCTTGGAACTTAACCGGGTTGGTCAGGCGAGACCGCTTGATTAATCTTAGGGGACCACTGTCGTATCTGTGGTCTGTTGTTGACCGAGATGTCGTTTGGTGTCACGTGATTGTATTGAAAATAGCTCTAGCTCTTACTCCAGAGCTTCTGTCTGAGTCTCACACCATTTCAGCCCCCAGCATATCTGGGGCCTTGGCTGTGATAGGCGCACAAGAACTATTTGCAGGTTGATCCAGCTGGAGCCAGGATGAGTCTCCACTTTTAACATTTGGCTAAAGTGACAGCGATTCCATTCCTCACCACAATTCGTGTTTTTCCTCAGAGTGATCTTGCCACACTCTCAGTTGTGGTTTCTGAGGTCCTGCTCTCACGTCAGTAATGCCTTCCCAACAATTGCCAGCCTCTGAACATCGGCCGGTTGGCATGTTTCCACCCGGTCTCTTCTGCCTTTTGATTGCACGACCCTGAAAGGTCACTGCGGGCAGCCGTCCTTGCCAGTTTGGATCTCTGCAGGATTCTACGTGAAGTTATCTGTTTCTTGTTAGCTTTCTTTAGAGCTGGTGGCATCTCTGATGCTGCT